AGGGCTGTGTGTGCAGGGCTGTGTGTGCTGGGCTGTGTGTGCAGGGTGGTGTGTGCAGGATGCTCTCGGGTGCAGCAGGGCGTCCACCCGCTGCCTCCAGGGTGAAGCCCCTGCAGCGGGCGAGGGTGGAGTCCCAGGTTTGCCCAGGTCAGTCTCCTCAGGACAGAGCGGGCACAGGAAGTGCCCCGGCCAGACGCAGAGAAAGCGCTGGCTTTTTTTCTCTGACCCGGAAAACCCCTGCAGCTGGGATCTGAGGCTCTCAGCGAGCAGAGAGGAGAGAGAGGCACATGATTGTAAGACAAGCAAGGCTGGGACTAGGCAGCATTGTTTGCAATTCAATGACTTTTTAAACCGAGGAAACGTGAGTCATCCTCAAGACAGACCGGGTCTGTTGGATCTTGACATCACTGGCAGGAGCCAGGCGGCGTTTGCAGCAGGAGCCGGGCTTGCAGGGAACGTCCTGGGGCGAGGAGGGGGTCCAGTCCCCCGCCCCATGGCCCTGGAGATGGAGGGGCCCCACTGCCTCCAGCCTCACGGTTGATGGCAGGCGGTTCCTTTCCCAGGCCATGACGCAGGCCCTCTCTTACACTCCCAGGCCTTTTCCCAGAGGCTGGGTTGGGCTTGCTGAGTTGGGGTTTTTCTGGGATTTTACCAGGCTGGCAAGATATGCGTAATGGGTTAGGAGTGGGTTCTGGGGAGCCCAGTACCCATCGGCCCACAGGGACCCCCTCCACTCGGTTCCAACTGCTGTTAGTGGGAAGCAGGCCGCCTGGTGCCAGATCTCCTTGTATTTTATGATTGAAAGATTTTATGAAATCTTCAGGTTTTCATATGAAATCGAATTTTACAATGTTGGTGATTTTATAAATAAACTATGGGATGAACCGAGCATGTCTGAGGGCCACCAGTTCGCAGTCTGTTAAGACCATGGACTGGCTCCAGGGGCCACGGGTTGGAGAAAAGGCACCTGGGCCTGGCTGTCCGCTCAGGGTCCTCCCTGCCAGTCTGGCTCAGGATCCTGCTGGGGCCCGACCCTGGCATTTGACGTGGGGCCTTGAGCCTAAAATGTGGCCCAAAGGGGAACAGATTCCTCCCACTTGGGGCAGAGCGGGGTGTGGGACCCCCCGCCCCCAGGCCTGCAGTGGGAAGGGGCGGGGGAGGGGGGCCTGGGCTCGGCCCTGCGTGGACATGGAGGCGCGGCCTGGAGTCTTTAGCTGATGGGCGCGCTCAGTGACTGGCTGGGTTCGGCCTCTTGCCGTGGGGAATGGGTCTTGCCCGCTGGGCATGTCGCTGCCCTGACCAGCTCCCCGCTGCCTTGGTGTTTGTGCTCCGCTCAGGTGTCTCCATCCCCATCCTCAAGGGCCAGCCCCTCCTGGCTGCTCAGGGGGGTGCAGGTGGGAGCCCTGAGGTCCCAGTTAGGGAAGTCTCGAATCTTCAGCCGGTTCTCTCTCCTCCCGCCCCCAGCTGATGGCATTTAACATGGGCGCCACCGTTCTCTACATCACGGCCTTCATCACCTGCTCCGCTTCGGTGGAGCAGACGTCCCTGAAGAACACCCGGCCGTACAACCAGCGCGCGGCTGCCTCCGTGAGTACGGCTCCCTGGGGCTCAGCAGCGACCGGGGATTGGCCAGAGCGAGGGCTGTGCCCCTGGACCCCACTGCTCCCTGGTCTGAGGCCAGGCACCTGCCACCTCCCGAGTTCTCGTCCTAACTCAGCAGGTCTCAGGGGAGCCCAGCCTTCGGTCCCCCCACAGTTAACAGAAAGGCTCGAAGGAGCACCAGGCTTGGGAAATACCTCGTGGTGAATGGGAGTTTGGGTTAACCTTTGAACTTGGCTGTCAATCAGTTGCAACTCACTGACTTAGGATTGTA